TCATTTTAGCTCATGTGGAGCTTGCGGGTCTACCAAGGTCTTGAGGCATTTTTTGCATAAACTACTGATAACACCTATCCCTTCATCCTTTCCTTCTGTAAATGATTTTTATGAAATAAAACCCAGAGTTTATTGTATTTTTATTGTTATAACACTATCCAACCATTTTTAAATGACAATGTACATCGTGGTTCAATGCCATCTTTGTTTTGACTCATTTATCCAGCTTTGGAGGGAGCCCCTGGCTAACTGTCTATTTCCGACCTCTCTCATTTCTTATCAGTCTCCCCTTCGACAATCAGCTGCAGCCACACTGGCCTTCTCATGTGCAAGCTGTTCCCGTCTCAGGACCTTCACACTTGCTGGTCTCCTGCCTGGAACTCTCTCCTGCCAGAATCTCTCCCTCTGCTATTACTCTCTGTCACCTTTTACAAGGTGTCAGTTTCCTTCAATTTATGTGTCAATGCATGGCATTTTATTATGTATTTGTTTGTCAATCATCAATCTTCTTCCCCAGAATATAAAATCCGTGAGGCCAAGGACTTTGACTTGTTCACCACTGGATCCCTAGCACCTAGAAAACTCCCTGAAACATAAGAGATGCTTAATAAACATTTTTCAGATACATGAATTAGCTACTCTTTTAAATTTTTAACTCAATCATCCAACTTTTAGCTCTTCTTTTCACACTTGTATCATTGGCCAGTTTGATGAAGTTGCTTTCTCTATCCACGAACTTATTGATAAAAAGTGTTCTACAGGATAAAGCTGATCTCAGAACCATGTGGCACTCCACCAAGTACCCTCTCTCAGGCTAACATCTTTGTGATAATTAAGAAATCTTTAGAAATAAATTCAACGAACGCTGATTTCATCTCGTTTTCCAACATATATTTCTCTATCTTGAATAGAAGATATGATCCATACTCCATTAAATAGTGTAAAAGAACCTTCACAAACTGGTCCCAAACTATCTGCCCATCATTTAAATCCCATCTCTACCTCCTTCCTGCCCCCTTTCCATAGACTTGTACCTTTCATTCTAGTCCCGCTAAATGTGTTATAATTCCTAAAGCATACCATGTCCCTTCTCATCTCCATGGCTTAGCACATGCAGGTCCAGCTGTCTGGAATGTCCTCCTCTCCCTACCCCCACCTTCAGCCCGGTGCATCCTTGTACACCATTCACTCATGATCTAGGATAAATACCGCTTCCTCTGTGAATCTTTCCCAAACTTCCCTGAGTGATTAATCACCCCCTCCTCTGTTTGTCCACTTTTACATTTTTCTTATTATTTGTAATCATTACCATATTATTTTCAGTGTTAAGACTGTGAACTCCTCCAGGATATGAAGCTAGATACTCATTGATATCCATTGAATAAATGAAAAACATAATGAAATACCTTGTTCATTGCTTGTTGAGTTTAAAGAAAGCAGGTCGCATCCAGTAGGACTGACTGATATCCCAGACCGGCTTCCATCAAGGTAGCACTGACCTTGGTGAGTTTTCTGGGGTCCATCTTAGCCTTGCCATCTTAGGACCAGAATTCCTTGGTCTTTGGAATAGACTTACTCTCAATAGGGGATCTGCACTGACCAATTTCTTGGAGGTTAAAAAAATCAGCATAATAATTTACTACTTTATAATGAAAAATGTAACTGTCCAGAGAACTGAAATTCTCAGGTCAACCTGTTAGTGCATTGTCTCCCTGTGGGCAAGTTCTAAATGAAGCAACATGATATGGCACAGGGGAAGGAGTTGATCTTAAGTATTTTTCAATGAAGGAAGCTTGAGACCATCTCATGCACTAGAGAAATGGTCTTTCCCGGGAAAGTGTGATGTTTGAGGTTGCTTAGCCAAGACTGCCACTCTCTGGGCAGAGCCTGAGGGATCGCCTTCAACTTGTCCGCTAACACTCCATTTCCTGTGCAGCTGTGGTCAACCCACATCTCTCTGCCCAAACAGGACTTAAGGAAATTTCGCTAAATGTCTGGTGACCACGTTATATTCGTATTTGACTTCCTATTCTTCCCATTTATATATTCATGGATGCTCTCCTGGTTTGTTCCTGTTCATATTTACTGTGTGTGGATTTAACTAATTTAACTCCATGGCCAACTGTATCTCCACCTCATTGTCAGCCCTGCTTAATGACAACAAGACCTGAAAGGGTTGAAGGACTAATCCAGTTCTTATAACTTGGCAGTGGAAGAGGCAGAAATGCAACCCTGGTCTTATTGCTCCAATCTGCTGTGCTCTCTATTATATGTTTCTATGTGGAAATCCTCAATGATTAGTCAAGCAGACTAGTTCTTAGCCTTTTTTACCTTATTAAAAATATTTTTTTCAAAAGGCTTAGAAATATGCACACACTTTGACACATTATTGACACTTCCATGAATCTATACTATGAAAATAGTCATAGAGGTGCACACATTATAGCTACGAGGATAGTTATTGCTACATTGTCTACAAGAGTAAATAGTTGAAAAGAACCTAAATGTCCAGCAACAGGAAATGTGTTAAATAGATTATAACTAAATGTAGTCATTAACACAATGCTATACAAGAATGTTTGTCCTACATTGTCAAGTGGTAAAAGGCAGATTACTCAACATTATGCAAGAAAGGATCCTGCTTCTTGTAAAAAGAAAAGTATATGGATGTATAGCTGTAGAAAAAAGACTAGAAGAAAATAAAAACAAATCTCAAAGAAAATGGATGTTAGGATTATAATGAAATCCCCCTTCTTTTTTGCTTATCTAAATTTTCTGCAATGAACATGTTTTACCGTAATTTTTTCAATGATTGTCATTATTAGAACAGTTAAAAATTAATTATTGTAATCTTATTTGATGGGACTTGAGTAGAAAATTAAAACCATATGCAACAATATGTCAGTATTTTCATTATGTAGCCTTCTGTGTAAAGCTGCTTTTATCTTTCTACTTCACATGTTATTAATTTCCTATACTGATATGACGCTGCAGTAGCTCTTTAAACTTATTAATCGCCTGTATTTCTATCCATATAAATACAGACAAGGCTTTTTTGTTGTTCTCTGGGAGTGACTATAATAAGATATTGAGAATAATGACCCCCAAGCAAATATTCAAGGAACCAAGCTTAATTTGTTAGAGTACTACAGTGACGTGATAACAATTACGATTTTGTTTCCAGTGTGGGAGAGCAGGCCGTCTACTAAAGCTGCAGAAGGTACCCCTTCCCAGTCCATCCTCTGCAAATGCTGCGTGATTGGAACGGAGACCACGAGAGAACAGCGGTAGCTCAGCATGAAATATCCTTGCACTGGCCAATCAATAATAGCAGGTTCGTATGTGAGATGCAGCAGAAGTTAGCCCAAGGAATGTTAATATTTAACTACAATTCAATTCAATTTAATTTAATTGCTAAATTCAGGGAATTTAAAAGCAGCATGACCGAAAGCAATGAGACGGGAAGTCGTCCGGTGTGTCCTCTTTCTCATGTTCTCATCCTCATATGCTTCTCTTCCCTCCAGGGTTTATTCACTCACTGCTGACCTCCCTCCCAGACCCTTCTGCTCTGTCTCGTGGAATGCTCCTTTGCTTTTGAAGAAACTTCTTTTCATTCTCCGCCTGCTCGAAGACATTGTCACTCTTCCCGTTACTTAGCAAACCCTGGCTCTCACCAAGAATGTCGCCTTGCTTCCTTTACAATTCCGTCCAATGAAGGTGCTCATTCCTCCATGAGCCTGGCACTTGCAGCTCTAGGAGGAGAGCCGATCCTTCTAGCTCCACACTGCTGCTCCTACACCACTGAACTCCCTGCCCAGGGCTGGCTTCATGGGCACGTGTCCAGTGCAGGCTCACGGGGTCCCATGCACAGACGTGCCTGTGCTTGGGGTTTAATGCTCTGCAATTTTCATCTTGAAACTCTTAAAAATTGATATGGGCTGAATTGTGTCCTCCCACAATCCATATGTTGCAGTCCTAACCCTCAGTACCTCAGAACGTGGCTGTACTTGAAGACAGGGTCTTTAGAGAGGTAATTAAGGTTAAATGAGGTCACTGGGGTGGGTCCTAATCCGATATGGCTGGTGTCCTTATAAGAAGACGAGATTAGGATACATACAGACAGAGAGGAAAGACCTGATGGCCGTCTACAAGGATAGAGGCCTCTGATGAAACCAAGATGCAAGCGACGTCTTCATCTAGGACTTCCAGCCTCCAGAAATGTGAGGAAATAAATTTCAGTTGTTTAAGCCGCGCCACCTGTGATACTTTGTTACAGCAGCCCTAGCAAACTAATATGACAAGTTCACCTTTTAATTTGTGTGCCATCAGTGAGTCTGGTGCCTAGTGGAGCATGCTCAAGGGGCTTGGAGCCCTGGCTCATGTGGGGTCCCACTTCCCACTGTCTCCCCTCCTTCCCTGGTTGGTGTGTTGGCCTCCTGCTTCCCCTGCCCTCAGCACCCTGGGTCCCACCCAGTCTGCCCCTTCCTGTCGCCTCCCTGAGGCTGACTGGGTCCTGTCAGCAGAGCAAGTCCAGCGGGTCCCACTGTTGCCCTCTGTCCCAGGCAGGGAACTAGAGCAGGGGCAGGCAGGGCTGAGGTTGGGTACACATCATCGCCCTGGCATCTTCAGGTAGGGCGTGGCAGCACCATCCCTATTTCCAGCTGGCAGTGCCACAGTGTGTCTGTCTGGTGGGCACGTGGCAGGGTGACCCTCTTGCCCTCCCCGGACCAAGTATGTCCTGGTGTGCGAGTTGTTGTTCCTTCTGCTCTGGGTTGGGGTGGTGGGCTGTGGGAAGGGGAGACCGGTTCATTTGCATCCAGCTGGGGTGCAGCATATCAGGGGAGGTGGAACTCGGAAGTCAGTAGGCCTCATACTGAGTCACGGGACAGAGCCCCCACTGGGCGGCTGTCAGGGTCTGCATGGACTCTGCAAGTGTCCCTGTGCCCAAGGGACCATGACATGAAACAGCAAATAAAAACACCACGACAGGTCAAGAGATAGGCCGTAGAAAAAAGGAAAGTCTTTTTATATTTTAGTACCTTTAACAGCAGTATATTTGAACGAAGGCCCCCACATTTTCATTTTCACTGGGCCCTACAAATCACATAGTCAGCCTCACCCAGCCCTGTACCAAAATGTTACCAATGTCATGCAATCTGGCTATTTCACTCTCCGTCCTCAGCACTCTTGCTCTGTATATGCAGTTTCCTCCTTCGGCTGGTATCTTTATCCCCACTCCAAGCCACCATGGTGCAGTAACCATCACTCATGTGTCAGACCGTCTCCATCCAGCTCGCCATCTCACCGACCCTCCAACCCAGTCTAGGAGAACAGCTCCCTCCTGAGTCCGCTGCCCCCATCCTTTCATTACTCAACCCTCAGCCTCTCAATCCCGGCCTTGTGATTGTTGAACAAGCTGTGGGGCGGATCCACCAGCTGCCTGACACTGCGCAAGTTAGCTGCTGTCTCTGAGCCTCAGTTTCTCCACCTGTAAAATGTGGAGAGTAATATTAACTTTATAGATCTACTGCAAGGTTAAATAAAATAATATCTAGGACACCCTTCGCATGGTGCCCTGCATGGCGCCCAGCACACAGGCGTTCTCACTGAACGGCTAGTGCTTCCCCCTTGGACCACAATTGCCCATCCCTCTTACCTTTTACCCAGCATCAAGATCTTCGGACTGGCAATTTCTCCCTTTTCTGTCAGTCTACGGGACACTGTCCCCACCCCCCATCTCCAGGCTTCACTTCCCTTTTTCAAAAATCTTGGCAGCATCGTCAGTTTCTTCTCAGATATGGCAGAAAAATAGGAAACGACTGATTTGCAAACAGCGGTTTGGCTCCTCTCTAGTTCCTGTGATCTGCGTCCTCTGCTCCTGTGCCCAAGCCCTGGAAAGTCAGGTGCATGGCCGTGCTGACGTGTGCCACTGCACACCCACGGTCTCCGCCAGGCTGACGTGTGCCACTGCACACCCACGGTCTCCGCATCAGCCGGCCCCCCTCTGCTGCCTTGCTGTCTGTGTGCTGGTCTCAGGTCGTCTGCCACCGCCGTACCCAACAGCAGTTGTCAGAAGGCTTCTCCTCGAGCCTCCTTCTCTTCTGTCCTCTGACTCGGAGCCGCTGTCCCCGATTTCTACTCAGAGGGACAAGGCAGGCGCTGGGCTTCACCCCTCGTCCTCTGCTGAGGACAGACCCAGGAGCGTGCCTCCCCTCCTCCCCTCCTTTCCTCTGCCTCTCTTCTCGGCCCTTCTCTTCTGTGCTCCGGATCCCTTTCTCTCCTCACTGTCACTTATCCTTTCCACTTTACCTTCCACCTCTTATTTTCCGTGCCCGCTTCTGCCCAACATAGAACCCTTCATAGAATACATCTTCAGTACTCAGGGCGAAGGCCCCTTCTTCACTGGCATCCTCTCTGGTGTCCCGCTCCTTTCAGCCGGGCTCTCTGAGAAGCAGGTTTCACGCCCTTCTCGCGCTGCCTACCTCGCTGCTGCCTCTTCCCTGCGTTCCTCAGCTCCTTCAGTGAAGGGTTTGCCCTCCTTTCCACTAAGGTTTCTCTCTCAGATAATCAGTGGCCTCCCAACTGCCAACCCTCGTGATCGTGATCAACTCTTAGACTTTCCACACTTGATTTCTCCGCAGTGTCTGACGTCGTCGTTGAATTCTACCCGCTTCTGGGGAGGCGCTGGCTCGCTCTCTCTCCCTTCCGGGATATGGCTCTCTCTTGGTTATCTTTCTGCCTTTTTGACCCCTCCCTCCCTCTCCCTCTCTGCTTTCCCCTCCTCCTCTACCGTCCCTCAGACGTTGGCATCCTCTGGGCTTCCGCCTGGGCCCTCTCCCTCCCCCCTCTCGCAACCCCCCTCCAGGAACTCATTTGCTATCCTGGCTCTAACCACCCTCTGCTTTCTGATGACTCCACGGTGCTGGCTTCCAGGCCCACTGGACCAGAGCAGCATGGAGCAGCCACTCGCTGGCTAGCTGATGGACTTGGGGCAGACCAGTTAACCTCTGCAAGGCTGTTTCCTCATCTGCACATGAGACTAATAATAAATATACACAGTGGGCTTATTGTGAGGATTAAAATAACACAGAAAAAGCACAGTTCCCGGCATGTATAAATGACTCAGTAAACGGTAATGATCCTGGTGCTGCTCAAGTGATGTTATTTAAAGGTAACTGCTACCCAGGCCCTGTGGGCATTTGTAGGATCTCACCTGCACAGGCTGCCTCCCAGCAGCTGGTAGTGTTAACTAGGACCTTTTTTCGTCCCACTGGCACCTCCCTCTGTCCATATTCGCAGCATCTGGGCCAGCTGCACGATCTCCACTCCTCTCATGCCTAGGAAGTATGTTTACTTCCTGACTCGACTCATCCTCTATTCTCCCTGACCTGGTCTTTCTGAGGTCTGCGGATTGAAGAGGCCCATTTTAAGGAGTCTCCCATGCCTGCGCAAGGCCCCATTCATCCTGATATTCTCAGTGTGGTTTTGTGCAGTATTTGTGCGACTCTGTTAATATCTGAGGAACACAGTTTGGGGACACTGTCGAGTAGGATAAGGGTCCTTGCCTACTTTTCCACCTTATCCACTCTCGCCTGTAAGTGCTCTGCCTCGCCAAAGGAAACCACCGACAGTTTCCAGAAGGTGCCATACTGCTCCAGAATCTCTTTCTGGATCTCGTCTCCACTTCTACCCTCCCCTGTGCAGCCGCCCAGCCATCTCTCCCCCAGCCCCTTGCCAGATACACCACTTCCAACTTTCCCTCTCACAGCTCTGCTCAGTCTTTTCTATAGCTGTTTGCCTCTCAGCCATACCAAACCCCACTTTCCAGTCATGTCTTTGTCCCCACAGCTGAGCATGATGCACACAGCAGACCCGAAGCATCTAGACAGCAATCGAAAAACACTGGAGAAAGACTTCGTCAGAATTCCACAAGGGGTCACTTTCTGTACATTCTAGGAAGAAACGGTGCAGGCACTTAGTAAATCAGTTCTTGATGAAAAATTCAGCTCTGTGTTTAATTTTTAAAGTCATTTGTTGTTTACTTAACGGAAACTGAAATTCTGCCATGTCACACAAGCCTCGAAGCACTGTATGATTGCCAGTTCTTTCTGCTGTTACGGATAATGTCAATATTCATGTTTGTGTAAAAAACAAAATTGAACATGACATTTAATTTTGCAAATTAAGAATTCAGATCACTGAATTTTTATGAACGTTTCTTCCATATTTTTAGGTTAACATCCTCAGATAAGGTTAATATTTAATTAGTTCATTTCAAATATGTTTCTAGATCACCCCAAAGACCTGTTGTTCTAAAGCTTTATTTCTTTACCACACTTATTTTCACTTAACCTCAGTTGCAAAATTAACGGTGTATTCTTACTGGTCATCTTGATCTGCCTAATACCGCAGAGATTTAAATAAGGGGAGGCAAAGGGGGAGAAGCTGATTTTACTAAGAATTGGTAGCCTCTTAATGCAGTACCAATACACATAGCATGGACATCATACTTTAATATTTGGGTTACTCCCTCCAACGCAATATTCCTGCCTGGCCTGCAAAGCAGCCATGGTATTGCGGGGGATCAGAATTGGCTAGCCCAAAATGTGTCTCTTTGCCTTGATTATTTTTGAGAACAAAAGATGCTGAAAGAAACTTTGACCTTCGCCCTAACTGCCTAAAAGAATTTAAGATAAAGGCCCGTCCCCAGGACAGGCCATCACTATGGATAACTCTGGGTATCCATAGACTGAGATGATCCTTGCTAAGCCCACTCTTATCAAAGTTCTGTCTACCAAACATTTGCTTTTCCATCTCCATGTGAATTGCTTTCCTCCCCTTTGAAGGCCCAAACTACCACCCAAGACATCCTTCTTTGTCCTCAGCTGAAGATGGTAGTTAAGGTGGCAGCTTCCGCCATTCTGTCCAGTCGCTCAGTTTTCCTGGGTGTCTCCCATGTATGCATGTTATAAAGCTGTGTTTGATTTTTCTCCTGTTATTCTGTTTCATGTCACTTTAATTCCTAGACCAGCACAAGGACCTAGAGGGCAGAGGAACTGTCTTCTTCCTCTCCAGTATCAAGATTCTGTTTTTAAGGGAAAGTGTTGTTCTTAGCAACACTGAATATGTAACAGCACAGAAGGGTGAAACACTGAGATTACACTGCCTGTCAACCTTCTAGGAAACAGAGAGACATCAACAAACTATTAAATGCCACGAGGTAAGTGCATCGACAGACCAAGTGCTGTGGGAGCACAAGGGAGGAGTTAGTTAAAGGACGTTTTCCTGATGGAGTGGGCTGCGAGGAATCTGTCCAGTCAGCTCTGGGGAAGTCCATGAAGCGTCTCGGTCTGGTACAGAAGCCTCCCCTTGGCATGACGCACGTGGGCGCGGCCCTTTCTCCACAGTGTCAGGGAGAATGTATCTATGTTTGTGAGCTTAGCATGTGCGTGCACGTACTGCACGGCGGTTTGGGTATTCGGGCTGGTCACACCACTTTTGTGCAACCCTCCACGGTCACGGGACTGGGGAAGGCCCTGCTGCCTCAGCTTGCCTTTTTGCCCACGCTGAGCTGATTCGGGCAGAATTCTTGGAGGGATCCGGCCTGCAGCGGCGCCGCTCCCCAGCTCTGCTCTCCTTCCCACCTGCTGCCCCGCGTGCGCGTGTGCGGGCAGCAACGTCAACGCCCTCGCCTGGAGCGCTCGCCCTGCAGGCAGGGTGCCCTCTGCTGCTCCCGGGACAGCCCCAGGGGGCCGCTCCAGGCTTTGGCTCAACCCTTTCCTCAGAGAAAACCTTCCCTGACCTCTCGGATGAGGTCCAACCTCTGTTTTGAGTTCCCTTTTGGCTCCAAATATTTCTCCTTTGCAGCACTTTTCACTACTGCAATTTTGCATTGCTTTTCTGGTGTTAAAAGGTAAACTGAGGCATATAAAATTTTTTAAGATTTTATTTAAGCAAAAACCCCTTGGAATCGGGCAGCGCCAAGCCAGGAGTGTTTTGGAGTGTTGGGCAGACCGAGCTGGGGAGAGACTATATATAGAGAAAGGGCGGAGGCCAAGAAAGGAAATGGTCCATGGGCGCGAGCTTGAAGCCTAGGGGGTTGTTTGTGACCGGCTGTCTTCAGCTTTCAGTTTCGTCACCCTGAGGCATTTACAACTTGCATTTTGGTTTGCTTACTGCCACTGCAGCGTTAGAGCCCCCTCAGTCTAATGGCCTCCTTGTTTAATTAATTTAACAGAGGCGATTATTTGATTAATTATTGACTCCCGGACTCAGCTGGAAGCTCCGGAGAGCTCCAGGTACACGTCTGCTCCCCATTCCCTAGCAGAGTGTCTGGTGCAAAATACATTCAGTACATTATTTGTTGAATAAATAAATGCAGGTACGAACGTGCCAAAGGGTGAATACAGAATTTTTTGAAACTGCAATACAGATAGGTTGTTCTGGAAAGGGAGGAGTAAACGCCTGCTGGCCTTTCCCCTGCGGTGGGGGGGTGAGCAGAAGTCCTTTGACTTCCAACTGGCTTAGAGAAAACCCCATCTTCAGAGTTTCTGTCAGTTCTTCAAAGACAGAGCTCCTGACTCTAGAGCTGAGGGTCCTTTGTTTAGGAATCTTTTGGACATGAAATCAGAGAAGGTCCAGGATGATACCCAGTGGGCGGGATTGAGGAAAAGGAAGGTAAAGTGCTCTACATAGTAGAGAAACAGAAATGCTGGCTGTTTTCCTTTGCAGCTGGGGACTTGGAATTCTAAATTCAAGGGAGGGAATAGATGGGAGAAGGGATGCAGTGGGGAGGAAATGGACCTCTGGAATATGTCAGCAAGCAGGAGATAGAATATAGGACTACTTCCCCGCCTCTCCCCTGCTCCCCCTTCTCTCCCTCTTCCTTCTCCCCTCTCCTTCTTCTCAACATCTCCTCTCCTTTCTCCTTCTCCTTCTACTACTGCAGCTATTGGTGTCATTTACGATGCCGGGAGCTATTCTAAGTACTCAAATATATTGCTGATTCAGTCCTCACAGGAACCGGGAGGCAATTTACTCATACCCCAATTTTACAGAGAGGAAACTAAGACTGATAGATGGGTTAAGTAACTCACCCAAGGAGGCTGTAGGGACCTGAAATTGGCCACCCCAAGATATGTCTCTTTGGCATCAGGATTATTTGAGGCTGATTGCTTTTGATAAATTGGGACAGGGAAGGAGGAATGGAATTTGTCCTTTGTTAGGACACATTTACACTTGTAAGGTAAATCTCTATCTGTAAAAGGTGCCTCCCTCTCTGTACCAGGAAGAAGGAGATGACCTTCTCTCTAGAAACTCTTAATCAATGCCAAAGGCAAGGACTTAAATCTGCATTTTATTGTGCTTGTCTGGTACCCTCCTGTAACTAACTTCCCTCCCCCTCCCAACGTTGGCATTTCTTTAAGGATTAAGCATCTTTCCTTAGGCTAGGAACTGATTGCTGCGGCTCACCTGTGACCGCCCAGCTCCGGACAATAGACTTGCCTCCTGCTACGCCCACGGAGATAGCAGACCCACTGCCTGCTGTGTCCATCAAGCGCTGTGCCGACAGGACAATCTTGTGACTATTGTGGGAGGGACATTTCAATCACATGTGAAACACCCTGTTTGGGGGTATGTAACCACTCTGTGCACCCCACTTCTTCGGTGTCCTTTCTTCCTTCGGGAAGAAAGGCCCCGGGCCATGGTTCCTCATAAAGCTTTGTTTAATTTTTTCTTGCTATTCTGTCTCATGTGAATTTAATTCGTTCTCTGGCCAGACGAACCCCAATTTGGGAAGAGGAAATGTCTTCCTCCCCTACAAGGCACAGCTGGTAAGTGGCTACTAATGTACCTGCTGTCTTGAGGATGGCCAGGGCCATCATTAAAATATGATGGTATGCCTGATGTTTAATTTAAATGGTTTGTTTTGTGCTTATTGACCCCTGATCCCCAAGTCTTTAATAAACCCTTATTTGCCACCAGATGGAGCAGGCTTGTGTTATCAGTGCTTTGGGAAAGAGGGAGAGCTGCGCCTAAGCTAAGGGCAAAGTTTCAGAGAGAGAGGGCAGACACAGACAAGAGAAGAAACAAGACAGCTAGAGGATGGAGAATGGAGCACGGGAAGAGGTGACGAGGCAAGCTACCCGCCTCGTCCCTATACCCTGATAAATATCATACAGGTACTGGAATTTCTGAATTATATAAGATGGAGGGTTCAATTATTTTCTTTGGATATTAACAGAGATTGATCCTCATGGCTCGGAGATTTAGGGACATACATTTCTCCTGTTGCATTAGAGGTAGTTGCCCTTTGGTGCTTGAAGGCCAGCCCCAATCTTGTCTCTGTTTGGACTCAGCTGAGAAGGCCTCATTCCTGTCCCCACCAGAAAGGGTCCCGTCCTGCCCCCAGTGTGAGTCTCTTCCACGTCTTCATGCTCCTGGGCCTTTTGCGCCACATCGGGCATGGAAGGAAGGATTCGCTGGTGGTCAGGAAGTGGGCATTTTCTCAGGTCATTTTTTGGTGTTAAGATCATGTGAAAGTCCTGTAAGGTTCTGAGCAAATGGGGAGGTCGTTTCTAGCAGTTAAATATTCAGACCTACGATAGAGGCACAGTAGGATCCCTGTTCGCAGGTGAAGAAACTGAGGCTAAAGAGATGAGCTACCATGTCTGGTGCACACTGCTGGTAACTGGCAGGCATGCAATGGCCGAGTCAGACTGTCATCCCATCCTTTCCATCTTATTTAAATTAGTATTTGCCTAGTATACTTTGTAACACTTTTTTATTGTGATATAAAGCACACGTACAAGCTGTACGTGCATAAGTGCACGGCTTCACAGGTCATCACAAAAACAAACACCCATGTAACTACCATCCACACCCAAAAATAGGGTATTGTTAACACCTGAGAAGCCCCCACAAGCCCTTTCCTAGTCAGGGTCTCCAACCTTACCCCAAAGGAAAATACCACATGACTCTGATTGTAATCATGTCCATGCTTTTGGGGGGTGGGTTCAATTTTTCAGTAGCTTCATTGCGATATAACTCATGTATCAGACAATTCACCCATTTAAAGTGCACAATTTATTTTTTAGTCTATTCCTAGATCTGTGCAACCGTTACCACAATCAATTTTAGAATGTTTTACCAGCTCTAAAATAAAACCCATACACATTAGCAGTCACTGCCCCACTTTTTGGCTGTTATGAATCATGCTGCTATGAACATTAATGTACAGGTTTTTCTATAGAGGTGTTTTCAGTTCTCTTGGGTGTATACCCAGAAGTGGAACTGGCAGGCTGTTTTTCAAAGTGGTTGCACCATTTTACAAGCCCACCAGCAGTGTATAAGGGTTCAATTTCTCCTCATCCTTGCCAATACTTGTTATTTTCTGTTTTGTTTTGTTTTTTGAGGAAGACTGGCCCTAAGCTAACATCGTGCCCATCTTCCTCTACTTTACATGTGGGACGCCTGCCACAGCATGGCTTGACAAGCGGTGCATAGGTCCACATCCGGGATCTGAACCAGCAAACCCCAGGCCGCCGAAACAGGATGTGCGAACTTAACTGCTACACCACTGGGCCAGCCCAAGTTTTGTTTGTTTTTTAAGGCCAACTTAGTAGGTATGAAGTGGTATCTAATTAGTTTTGACTTACATTTCCCTAATGACTTAGCACATCTTTTGAACATCTTTTTAGGTGCTAATTGGCCATTTTTATGTCTTCTTTGGAGAAATGTCTATTCAAATCCTTTGTCCATTTTTAAGTTGGGTTGTTTGTCTTTTATTTTTAGTTGTAAAGTTTTTTATATATTCTGGATACCAGTCCCTTACCTGATGCATAATTTGCAAAAAATTTTTTTCCATTCTGTGTGTTGTCTTTTTACTTTCTTGATGACATCCAGTGAAGCATGAAAGTTTTTCATTTTAATAGAGTCCAATTTCTCTGTTTTTTCTTTTGTTACTTGTGTTTTTTGTGTCATATCTAAGAAAGCAGTGCCTAATGCAATGTCATGAAGATTTACTCCTAGTGTTTCTTCTAAGAGTTTTATTTTTTTCAGCTCTTACTTTTGGGTCTATGATCCATTTTGAGTTAATTTTTGTATATGTTTTGCGATAGGGATCCAACTTAATTCTTTTGCACGTGAATTCCCAGTTGTAGAAGTGCTGTATATATTCGGTTATAAGTCTTAGGCTGGTTTTATTTGTTGTGAAAATCT